GGAGGCGTGGGAGCTGCTCCATCGAACGCAGGCATAGGGGGTGGCGTAGGTGCGACAGGGCCATCGAACTTTTCTTTAGCTGGCTCTGGCAGATCTGTGCTGGTAGGTGTTTTCGGGCTCTCGCTCTCGAGGCTTGGATGACTAGGCCCGGTCGTGACACCGTCGCCTTCGTCATCGCTACCATCCACCCTCGGCGCTCTGCTTTGAAGCTCAGCGAGCATGCCTCGTTGTGCATTCGCAACAGAAGATGGCACCTTGGGCCGTGTGTACTCCACCAGTCTAGGCTTCTCAAAGACAGTGTCGTCCTCCATAATGGTCTCGTCAACATTGTCACCATCTGAGGCTTTTCGGACTGGTTTGCGTGCAATGCCGGTGCCTCTTCGAGGAGCGGTCTGGCCGAGGTAGCTCATTTGGGCTTCAAGTCCATCTGGTTCCATGCCCGCGCCCTCCATCTTTTCACGAAGCTCACGCAGCTTGTCACTGGGATTGAACTGTTGCCACACCTTACCTTCCAGCTTTGCCTGAGTCTTTGCACGTTCAAGCTGCATCTCCAAGCGATCCATAAGCCTTTCACGGTCGAGGATGCCTTGCAATCGCGCCGGATCTGTAGTCTCCTCATTTTTGCCGCCCTTTTTGGCATTCGACTCAGCGATGTTTTGAGCATCGCGAAGCATCAAGTACAACTCTCGAGTCTCGAGTTCTTGTCGTTGCAGGTCCTGTGCTCGTACTCTTTGCAGCTCACTAAGTTCTGACTTCATTGCCTCGGTCTGTCGAGACTGCAGGTCAATGACAGCAGCTTGTTCCTCGATCTGCTTTTGCAATTTGGCTACTAGACCTTCAGCACCCATCTCCACCTGGGACTTCATCTCATCACGCTCTGCAATTGCCGCATCTGCAATAAGCCTTGCTTCATTGGCAGCTTCTCGAGCTTGTCGAGCCTCGGAGTCTGTATAAAGCTTGTCGAGTAACGACTGAACGGAGAAGTTGAGAGACTGCTTGAGGTCCATATCTGGTAATCGTCGGTCCATGGTAACATAGGAGAGCATGCTCTCTACGAGCTGGAACAGCTTCAAACGATCTTCTCCTTCGTTGTCCCGAATCAACAGAAGATGCTGCAGTGCAGAGAGAAAATAGTCGCCTTCTCTGCTTCCAGCAACTCGTTGCTGAATAGCCTCAACGATTTGTACCGGGTCATTCAAGTCTTTGCCCTCGCCCTCCATACTCTCATGCATAGAGCTGTTCTCGCGCTCCAGCAAGTCTTCATAGTCAATGGCTTCGTTGTTTCGATATCGTTCGATCTGTTTGTCTATGACCTCGTACTGGAAGTCCTCCATCTTTGTGAAGATACGCTTGAGCCCACAGGCCACAAATTGGGCCCGGATGTGACATCGCAGCTGAAGATCTCGCTCGGGTGCATCTACGATGGAGTTCACCAAGAACAGAGATGCAACAGCATATTCCATGAGGAGGTTCTCCATGCCGACACCACCACTTCGGACTTCATCTGATGCTCCGACCAAGGATCCCATCTTGCCACGCCCATCGATGGTGACCTCCACGATACGTAGCCATGCATCAAATCGTCCGTTCTCGCTTTGTTGTGCCTTGAGATGATCCATGGCCTGGAGGACTTTCACATGCCCTTGTCCTTCTGCCCAATGACATAGGAAGGTGAGCAGCTCCGAGACCAATTTCCTGGTGTGCAGTCGTGGAGTCGTCAAGGAGCTCGCGAGCGCCATGACAATACTATCGTGCTGCAACGCGTTGTCGGCTCCATACTTGTTGTTCATCAATGCCTTCAGACATTTGACAATGTCGTACTCTCGGTCCAAGTCTTTCTCCTGCTTTGATCCTTCCACGGGGACTGGTCCAGATGCTTGTCGTCTATTCAACTTTCCGAGCAAATTGGTCAATGCTATCTGTCCTTGTGCTTCCACGAATGCCTTGACCCACGCGATGGGCTGGGTTCGGAGGCTCACGGCCAAGCTCTGTAATTGTTTTGCAGATATGGAGTTGTCCAAAATCTTCTTCACGTACCATTCCGGGCTGCCTTCCTCCTCCATGCGGCCAATATCGAAGCCTCCATGCACGCTCTGCATGGTATTTCGGGCCATATTTCTGCGCTTCTGCTCTCCTTGCCACTCTGCCAGTCTATCTTGGTATACCAGAGTCCACTTTTTACTTATAGGGTATGCTTCCATCTGACGTCGTGCTTGTTCGGGTAGTGATTTCCAACCACGCTTTAGCATCAACTCCAAGAATTCTTTCTCTATGACCTTGTCGTCCGAAGGTCGGTGTTGCAGCAATGCTTCGGGCGAGAATGATGCTGCACTAGAAAAGGCAGACGGGCTGTGGGCGTTGAGATGTTGGATGTTGCGATCTCGATCTCGCTGGCTTGCAGAAGATTGCTCGGGAGCATAACCGGTCATGCCGACGCCGAGAGAGGCCTGACTGGTGTTGGCATTGTAGTATTGTCTTCGGTCGCCGGACCAGTTCGATCGTACACTGCCGTGGTCGCTCGAGCTACGGGATGCGGGATAGGCATTCAGCGTGGTGGCATCCGAGTCCAGTCGCCCGCGGTAGCTGCTGCCATGTGTGGGAGGCCTCGGAGGGAGCGAGCTGGCGTCGAAGGCAGGGTACTGGTGGAAGTCGCCGCCGCCTTTGTTCAAATGGTGTGGCAGCGGTTCCCGTTTCGACACTGGCCACTCGGCATGATCAACAAGAAGCGGAGGTCGCGTGTCTTTGGCCACGGCATCGTAGGGTATGCTAGTGATGACTCCTGCCTGCATCGCCAGCGGGTCTTGCCCATTCTTCATGTACTCCTCCTGGTCGATGGTGCTGGTGGAGGTGGAGCTGCGGTGCGAGTGGCGCGCGGTGGACTCGTGGATCGTGGGCTGCGGCGCATGGCCGAGGCCGTGTCCATGTTCGCTCCCTTTGTCCTTCTTGTTACGAGAGAAGAAAGACTTGCCGCCGCTGCTCTGACGCGCCGACTTGTCGCTGCTGGAGAACATCGTTTCCTGGCCGCAGGCCTGCACTTCTGCGCTGCCCTGGCGCTCGAGGCGCGCGCTCACGCCGGTGTGTCGCCAGTCTCCTGTCCGTACGCTCCTGCCCGCGCCGCGCCGTGTTTATGTCTGTCCCCTCACTCATCCACTGCACTGCTCAGCCTGCACCAACTGCAATTGTCCGCGCTCCTGTTGTGCGTATTCTGCCACTGCGCTGTTCGCCTCGTCCGCGTCGGGAAAGCCACCCTTCTCCACCAAACTTCCAGGTTACCCTCCGTGCTTGCTGCGGGCCTTTCGCCGGGCCTGTCGGGCGGTCGTGTTTCGCGGCGGCGGCACTCGTATATCGCGGGCCACGTGCGGTCGGCGACGCTGAGGTGGAGCGGAGTCAGTGACGCACACGATAGCGTGCTGTGCTCCAGGTTTCGAAGTGAGTCGTGCACACTTCTCGATCGAAATCCGAGCGTCGACGCATACATGCGATCTCTAGGTAGAATACCTACCCTGCGACTCCTGAATGCGATGGCGCCGAACCTTCCAGCCGCAAGCGTCTTGGCTCCTCAGTTTAAGGCTTTAAGTAAGCAGTAACCTAAACTTCCTCCTTGCACCACGCCCATCGACCTTTCTTTCGTACACATGCAATCAAATGCCACACGGCTTCGCTCTCAGTACGGCTGCAGAAAGGTGGAAAACACGGTATGGAATGTCGTCAGAAAACGGCAGACCATGTCGGACGCTCCCTCCTTTACAAACGGATAGGCACGTGAAACATTTCGGACAGCACTGTATGCGCTCATGCAGCTAGTCGGACAAGTCGGTCACTCCACGTTGTATGTACATCGAAGCTATCTCCATTCATGTGAGCTCCTCCGTGCTACGAACCAGCTCATCTCCCATCGCTCGTCACGTCGTAAAGGAGGAAATGTAGTACTGCGTGGTTGTTATTAGCGAAGCCCTGCACCTTTGAAAGTTTTCGGCACCCCTTACCGTCAGTACAGACTCGCCCCCTCCAGGTTCATCGCTGTTCAGAAAGACATACAAAATGAGTGCGTGGTCGTGGCAGAAGCACGCGATAACTCTGCCACCGAGCCGCCCAACGCTCAGCACTCGACCCCAATCTCTCCCGTCGACACGCACTGTCGCCCATCCTTCGTCGCTCTGCCCAGAAGAATCGCCGAGTTCTTTCATCCTGGTACTAGGGTGGTTGGCAAGCCCAGCTTCCCCATCGGCAACCTGTGATGGATCGAGTTCTGGGTTCTCAAGGCCGGTCCATAGGCTGTTGATGCGCATCGCATCCGTATTGAGCGCTAAGCGAAGACAACCGTGCATATTGCCGCTGAGTTCGAGTTTCGGACCAGCACCACCATAGACAGCCCGTGTGCTGCTTTTCGTGGACAGTGCCAGCTTTGTGAAGCGGTCGCTGATTGCCTTCAGCTGTATCAAATTTGGGAGCACGATGTGCACGTCCGGTTCGCGACATCGTGGTTCGTGGAGTCCTTCGACCGATGCCGGCGCAAGTACGCGAACAGGCACGTCTTGCGTGACAAGCGTTTCACGCTCCTGTCTCGCTCCGAAGAACTCCACGCTTTCCTCTGTCCCGTTACCAGCTGTGCCAAAGTCATTAACGCCATCCTGGGTGGAACCCGATTGGCCGTTTCCGAAGGGAGCGCTGCTGTTCATGGCTTGCGTGGTGATCGTAAGCGACAGCAACGGAATGTTGTCCTTCTTCGTGAGTCTGATATTGGCGGCAATAGCATTCTGGGCACTTTTCAACGCTCGTTGGAGTGGCGCAAGAGGTACTTCGAGATTTATGGTGTTGTTCGCCGCGGCGGACTGTATCGTATACTCTTCAAAGATCGTTTCGATCGAAAGGACGGACCATACTTGCGTACCTTGTTCGGGGATGACCGTAAATCGAACATCCTTCTCGTCTAATCGCACCCAGGCGATGTTGCCCAGAGAGGCGAGTGATGCTGTAAATTTGGTGAAAGTGTTGATATTTTGAATACTCGCGCGGAAACGCATTTCAACAGGCTATCAGCTCTCGTCGGGTATTTGCTGGAGTAGCGTATGCTTTGCAGTCCTCATTTTGATGTATCGATCATCGGTGGTGGTTCTCACGCGACTTTGAGACGCGTCGCGGGCAGTAGAACCAGAACAGTACAAAGTCACGACTGTGTTCAGCAGTACGTGCCTGGCAGAGACAAGTGATGGATGTTGCAAATGGTACACGCCGAACCCGTTCTCAGATTCACCTCGCAGCGATTGTATCTGTCCACGAGCGTGCGATCTAGAGATTTGACAGTGGAGACCAAGGGAAAGGTGGGTATCGCAAACGCTAGTTATGTCAGCATGGCACGGCAGGTCCCGCCCGAGATCCGAGATCGTCCCCGTCCCCGCATACGGAAGCGACACTCTCGAAAGTCATCAGCCATCTGCCCTGCAGCCTGCTCGACCAAACAAACATCACCCAGTCGCATTATTTTCGAGGCGCGACGCCCACACTGGACGCCCGTCAGATTGCATTCACTTTCTCGCCGGCGCAATGGCGCCTGCCACGAAACGTCGGTCCACACGTCAGTCGGCAAGCCGCAAGCGCTCAATCTACTACGAGCCTGACACAGACGAGGATGATTTCGAGGCGAGTGGGAGGAGCGAGGAAGACTTTGCGCCCGATACCGAAGTCGTACAGGAACCAGTGCCGAAGAAGCGCAAAGTTACGAGAAAGCGCAAGCCCCAGACTCGGAGCAAGGCGGCGGCGAGAACAAAGCAGACAACTCTAGTTCGTGCTTTTAGAATCGGCAAGGCACGCAGGGCACAGTCTGCGCCAGTCAAGAAGGGTTTCGAAGGACCGAGCGATGGCAATATACCAAACTGGAAAGCGCTACCCGAGGAAGTGCTCAAGCAGATCTTCATCTACGCATCTTTGCCAGTGGACGAGTTCTCACGAGATGCAAGTGCCAACGCCACATGGCTGCTCAAGACTGCGCGGAGCATATGTCGAGCCTTCGGACTGGCCGCTCTTGAGGCGCTATATCAGTCGCCGCCTATGCTCAACACATATCACCCACATCAGCTCCTCGACCTCCTTCAGATGCCGAGAGAGGAGCGATACATCAATTACAACGTCAAGGTACATCGCTTGAACATGGACGTGAGAACTGTTGCCTACGCTGCATCAGGCAGACCGAGCTTGCATCTACCACAGCTGGTATCTCAGCTACCCCAACTCCAGCACATGGAGATACTACATCCACGATACTACCCACCCTTCAGGCCCGTCAAAGTTCAGAAATGGACCTTCTCTCCAACTGATCTCATCAAAGCCTTCGAAAGCTGCGGCACTCGTCTTCGCACTTGGCGCTGGTCGCGTGACACGATTCCTCGAAATGACCCGATCGAGCTCTACAAGACGATGTCAACGGCGCACGAGAGCGTGGTGTTTGCATATCTCAAGCGGCTCGTTGTGACTGGGTTCAATGTTGATGACAGCTTTGAACCAAGCACGACTGAGACAAATGCAGAGGGTGAAGCGCAGCAGGCACCGCCACCAGGACTTGCAACGTCGATCGCAAAGCTTCCCTCCCTTGTCGATCTGACATTCATCTCCTGTGACACCATCATGGAAAAGTTCTTGCAGCGACTGCCGACCAACCTTGAGAGGCTCGAGCTTACGAACTGCCTGGAAATCACCAGCGAGATGATGCGAGACTTTTTCAAGACATCTGGCTCTCATCTCAAGGAGCTCGTGCTCAATCACAACGCGGCGCTGAATCTGAGCTTCACAACATCATTGAAAGAGCTCTGTCCCCGTCTCGAAGTGTTGAAAGTCGATTTACACTACTACAGTGAGAAGGACTCGGTCAACGACGCCGAGGCTTTGTACGATGAGTTGCTACCAGAATCTGACATTCCTTCCTGGCCAAGCACTCTACGCCACTTGGAGATCATCCATGCTCAGAAGTGGTCACCAGAGGCTGCGCAGAACCTCTTCCGCTCTCTAGTGGACAATGCGCCCGAACTGCTTCAACTTCGGACGCTGATCATTCATGCGCACATCAACATTCCGTGGCGTGATCGAGCTGGCTTCCGCGATCAGTGGATTGAGCGGCTGGGACGAGTGTATCTGCGGCGTAATGGGTCACCGAATGAGAACCTGGGCTCGATCAGGCAGTTCGAGCTATGGAAAGCCACTCAACTGAAATGGTCCCCGAAAAGCGGTGGCGCTGATGAGTTGAGTCGCGAGTGGAACGGAAACATGCCTCTTCGTGGCAGAAGAGCTGTAGCCGTGCAAGCACCGGCTTACCAGTCCACAGGAGATACACAACGTTACTCCGACTCGGAAGTTGAGCACGAGACGCCGTGCAAGCGACAACCGCGCCGCAGCAGGCGTGTTGCTGAGAGCCAGGCATCCGTCATGGACAAGACTGCTACACCTTCGCCAGAATCTGACTCGGAGTCAGCGGATCGAAGTGAGGTAGAAGCGTGGCGGCGAAGGGCCGAGAAGTTCATTCAAGGTCTTTGCACGGCAGTCGACATTCGCATTGACAACCAGCGACCTCGCGAGAATCAATGGACTGAGGGAGACTTCATGGATGATGAGCTGAGTGGTGATGAGGACTGGAATGAAGATGCCGAAGAGGAAGATGACGGGTATGCGTGGTAGCGAGCTCGATGATCACGATGTCATTTTTGGAGGGCAGTCAAGGTGGTCTGACTTGGCCGTCGACCTGTACCATAAGAGCATGCTGCGCATGAGGGTCTGCTTGAAGTGACGGGTTGGAGGATATGTATGATGAGGATTCGGCGCAATGGACATGAGCAGCGCTGGCAATGCGCAAGCTCGTTGAGATACCCAGGAAGGAAGGGCAGGCATGTAACAATAGTATTCGAAGAAGTCCATCGCATGAACTTGGCACTACGGAGCGTCGTTGTCGTGCTGGCTCGATGATGGAGGACATACATGCAAGGTACTGTTAGTATTCGGCAGCTCCGGTGAGTGGACTGCATAGGCGTACAATGTCGCGTGTACGACAAGCCACTTAGAATCCGTTCCGAATCGTGCAGCCGGTGTGAGCAAAGCACAGGAGCGGTTACTATCAGGCATCAGGCATCAGGCATCAGGTCAGGTCTTCTGCTTGCTGGCGGCCTCGGCCGTCTGGGCAGTGCACGCCGGGGCCCGGAGGGCGGATTTAGAGTTCTGCGATCAGCTGTGCTTTGCAGGTCCACGTGGGAATCCTGGTATTTTGCTGCCTTCGCGCTTGCTCTGCAGAAGCATCGTCGTCGTCATCATCACAATAATCATCATCACATCGAATCTCAGCGAATGGAGCGTGGATGATCGCGCGTGTGGGCGCTTTGCGGAGCGCACGGGCAATTGGCGCGAGACATGGTGGACGACGGGTGGCGTCGACGAGTACGAGCACGAATGGCCAAGCGAGAGCGCCGAGTCCAGTCCGTGGAGGAGTACCATCGCGTCCGAAAGGCTGGACGAGAGGCGACAAGACCGCGTTCAATCACGATGCAACGATCTATGCCTTGTCTTCTGCGCCCGGACGTGCAGCGATAGCAGTCATTCGTGTCTCGGGACCCGCGTGCCTGCATGTCTATGAGGCATTCTGTCCGGGCAAGAACCATCCAAAGCCGCGCTTGGCGACCGTAAGAAGCCTCTACGCGCCTGGGCAGCACCTCGCCCCCGACTCTATCCTTGATTCTTCGGCGCTGCTGCTATACTTTCCTGCTCCACGCACAGCGACTGGTGACGACATTCTAGAGCTTCATCTACACGGCGGCCCAGCCATAGTCAAAGCGGTGCTGGCTGCCATCTCCAAATGTTCAAGCGCGACCTTCCCCCTCCGATATGCTGAGCCTGGCGAGTTCACGCGGCGAGCATTCATGAACAGCCGGCTGGATCTCACCCAGGTCGAGGCTTTGGGAGACACCCTGGCCGCAGATACAGAGCAACAGCGCCGACTTGCAATGCGCGGAACGGCCGGCTCCCTTGCGAAGCAGTACGAGACATGGCGAGAAATGCTTCTGTGTGCTCGTGGAGAGCTCGAAGCCCTCATTGACTTTAGCGAAGATCAGCATTTCGACGAAAGCCCGAATGAGCTTATGGAGTCTGTCGCACAGCAAGTCCAAGTTCTGCAACAAGCATTGCGAGTGCACAGCCAAAATGCAGTCCGGGGTGAGCTGCTCAGGCACGGAATTGGCATTGCTTTACTCGGTGCCCCAAATGCAGGCAAAAGCTCCCTGCTCAATCGTATAGTCGGCCGCGAAGCTGCCATCGTCAGCCACGAAGCCGGCACGACCCGAGATATCGTGGAGGTCGGCGTTGACATTGGTGGTTATTTCTGTCGTTTCGGCGACACTGCTGGTCTGCGCCGGGCAATGCCGGCAGCCGTACCAGGAGAGCAGGGAAAGTCCGCAGAAGTCATCAATAGAATTGAGCAAGAAGGCATGAGACGGGCGAAAGAGAGAGCGGCTGACAGTGACCTGGTCATTGTAGTCTTTGGCTTCGAAGACACAAGCAAAGCTGGTTCGCTGCCTAAATTGAACCTGGACGCCGACGTCACAGCAGTCGCGAAGAAACTAATCCTGGAAAAGGACAACGTCGTAATCATCTTGAACAAATCCGATCTGGTGAGGAACGAATCTGCACGAGCGGAAGCCAAACGAGCAGTTCTAAAAGACTTCCCATCTCTCAACGAGGATTCTGTACATCTCCTGTCGTGCACCGATGCGCAAACCACAAGTTCGGGACAGCTTCAGTCAAATGTACGGTCAGCCGGCACAGAAGAGATGGATCCAGGAGGGATACAAGCGTTTCTGGCAGGCCTGATTCGGCAATTCGAAAAGCTGACTGCAGCTTTGGCCCCGGTAGGCGATGATGATGATGATGATGCAGCAGGATTCGCGCCCGCAGCCCATGCCGATCTTTCTATTTGGCAGGAATCTCTTGGCGCTAGCGAGAGGCATCGCGTTTTGCTCGAGGAGTGCGTCAGCCATCTCAATGCCTTCCTTCGGGAGGCTCATCCCGAAACTTCCCTTCCTGTTGGTGCGCACGATGATGACGACGATTTCAATCGGAATCAAGTGGGCGAAGCAGAGGCAGATATTGTTGTTGCGGCAGAGCATTTACGAGCAGCGGCGGAGTGTTTGGGAAAGATCACTGGTCGAGGCCAAGCGGGCGATGTGGAAGAAGTGTTAGGTGTTGTTTTCGAGAAGTTCTGTGTAGGCAAATGAAATCATGACCTCCGATGAGTGCCAGGAGTACTTTGAGCCACGTAAATCTGATGGCTATGATGCAGAAAAGGTGGAAAATCGATTATCGCAACGAGAGGAGCCTTCCAATTGTCCTGCTATGGATGAAGCCGAGAAATAGCCTCCCACCAATTCCCATGTGCTTGCGCACTCTCGCGAAGTCTCTTTCTAAGCCATGTATGTATGCCCAAACAAGCTCCTGCAAATGCAACACAAAAATTCCCCCAAACTCCATGCACATGCCGCTAATGCTTCAAAGTTCCAAGAGAAACTCCATGTAAATGCCTATCGCTTCGCTGAACGCTATCATCAATCCAGCGCTTGCCTGAACGCTTATCAACGATGCTTCTTCTTCCCAGTCGTGCGCTTTAAAAAGTCCGTAGGTGTAGAAATAGTCTTGCGTAGTAGAAGGAGATGAGTCGTCCAATTATAAGGTATGCCGGAATTTATTCGAGACCCGCTCGAGGGTGGAAGTTCTCGTGGCCATTTCCAGAATGGCCGAGTGTGTTTTGATGGTTTAGTTGTAACCTCCTCTGCCGTCGTCGCTTCCTCGGGAGGGCACTGGTGAGTTGTATCCGCCGCGACCCATCGTGAATGATGTATTGATGATGATGATGATGATGATGTGGTGTTTCTTGTGTGCGGTAAATCCTGCTATGATGGTTTTGAATGCCGGTACAGTCGCTTTTGCTGTACGAGAATGTCGGGAAAAAAGTGTAGTCTTTAGTTGTATCCACCACGGCCCATAGTAATCAAGGGAATACGAAAAGGGGCTGATAGAAAAATGGGGTGGGGAAATCGAGGTTGAAGATGGACAGTAGGAAACACTGAAAATCCTGTGCGTACTGATGAAGTGTGATGAAAGGCGAAAATGGGTTGCTGATGTGTGTTGTCGTAGTGGTGTATATGCTGATGAGCGAAAGCTGGAAGGAAATGGGAGCCGAAGACAAATGAAACTTGGTGTTGATGGGAATGGAAGGGCAGATGTTGGTGAAGGTCAGGCCTCTATATAGACAACATCTGCTTCCTTCTGAGAGCTGCGCAGGCAGGATAGCTGGGTAGTGTAGGACACGACGGTGCGTCTATTCCCGCACCTGCAGCGAATGTCTGCTACCGGTTCCGTTAGCGTCGGACGAACAGTCTTTCAGCCAAAGTGTATTCTAAGGGATTGCCTCGAGCGAGCGAGCACGCACGCACGACGCTTCCGGTCGGCTGTGAAGGGTGATGTCGACGAGAAGGTGAGAGCGAGAAAGTGTAGTAGGCTGACAGACTCACACTCCGGCAGCCCGTGCCAAAAATAAATCTGAGCAACAATCGCAAAATGCGCCGTTCACGGTTAGCGTCAGCGTTAGCGTGGTTCACGCGCGCCGGTCGAACGAAGACGAAGACGAGGCTTGGCCGTGGCTTCCTTCAAACACGCGCACAGCCTCTGCCCCTTCCCCTTCCGCCAGTCCTCGCTCGCTCTTGCACGCCTCGACTGGGCCCCCAACAAATTGTTCCAAGACACAACCTGACCGTCTTTCTGCACGCTTTGTCGCGATGACGGATTGCCTGCCGCATCGCCGCATCCCTGTGCTGTTCATACCGCAAGTGAGTGCACTACTGCAGCCCTACGTGCAGTCCGGACGGCAGACCTTCAAGCATTCGAACGGTGTCACCGCAGTGACCGTACGTCTGGCGTCGAGCTTGCTCTGCAGTCAGAGCCATGATGAGGCCATAATTCATTCATACCTGTGCCAGGCTCATCTATTGCATTGGTAGTTGATGAGTCAGAGCTTGTCACGGCACCTCCGACCTCGATCCTCTCCCTTGAACACCATCATTTCTGCATTGCCGCATATTCCGCATAAGTTACCCAGGCTGAAGGCTGCAGGCCCTCGCAAGTTGTGCATTCGACTGACTCCGCTTGCATGCCCAACATCTGATCTGCAATTCTCCGCCATCGAATGTTAGGGTCTCATTTAGCTCTGGGCGCTTGACACCGGAGCAGTGCTTCCCAGCAGGTCTTGGAGGTGGCAGAGTATATCGACTTTGACACACGAATACGCCAGGTCACACGAACGCGAAGCCAAGCGGGAGCTGAATCCCTGCCACAGCCGAGCCTCTGGGACCCGATCAATGCATCATCACTATCTGGCGCCGCCCACAGAGGACGATAGAGAAAGAATGCCCTGCGACTGATTGACAGCCCAAGAGAAACCATTCAAGTGACAGTCTTGGCTGGCTCTTCCCAGCTATCAGCCGGAACGTCTCAGCCCCTACATGTTCGGTGCTCCAGCTGCACGGTTCCAGAGGATCGCCGCGAGCGCAAAGAGGGCTGCAGGGCTGCATCCGTCTCCAGGTACATATGCATCCCATGCAGGATCGCGATTGAGCCTCAATCTGCTGCCCGACTTGAGCTCGTGCCAAGTCCGGGCCCGCCATACTTTTCAGCCTGCCGTGACGAACGTTACATGCGGACCATAGAAAGCTTCCAAGTCCGAGCATTTGACAGTGAGGACTTTAAGAGGCTGTGAAAGCCACCGCGTACTGCCGTGTGGAGTGACACATTCATGGATCGCTGCAGGTGAGGAGCCTGAAGTCCCCCTCTCGCAAGTGAGAATTGTCATTAGCTAGGCAGACACAGTCCGTCGATAATCGATGATATGATGTCCACGAGAATAGCCCTTCGGCATCGTAGCTATCCTGCCACAGAAGAAGGTTGCTGGGTCTGACTTCCAGATTGTGCCCAACGAGCCTTCCTAGCGCGTCACGAAAGAACAATACGGCATGAATTGAAGAGACATTGACCGAACCTATCAAAACATAGTCAGCAAGACCTTCGCCATTATTTGCCACGACACTCACAAGTCCGAAAGACAGTTTTGGTACTGTCGTCGTCACGGCTTAGGGTAAACATAACCCTAATGCCTGCCGGACTTGGCCCGCAACAATTGAAGTCCGCGAGTAGTTCCAACATTATCCACAAGTGCAACCTTGAAGCCCTGAAGGAATGAGAGTGTTACTTGAGGTGCTCATGATGATTAATTCAGGCTCGCTAAGCCTCGACAACTGGTCAAGATTGTACAACTAAAAGGTATCTTTTAATGCCATAAAATTCGTTACGCAGAGGCCACGGTTCGCATCATCTACTTCTTGTTGCGCTGACCATAGGCCTTGGTGGCGTAGTCACCCTTGTGCACGATCAGATCCTCAGGTCGGTAGTCCTCGCGGCCGCTCCAGTATGAGTCCAAGATGCTCTTGACACCGGCAGCGTATCGCTGCTGAGCGTCGAGCGAAGTACCGGACATGTGTGGCACAGTCGCGTTGCCACCCTCCCAGTCGATGTAAGAGGCGTAGCGGAGTGGGTGGTCCTTTGGTGCTGGCTGTGGGAACCAGACATCACCACCGTAACCACGGAGCTGACCAGACTTGAGCGCGTCGGCAACATCCTCCTTGACGACGATGGCACCACGGGCAGTGTTGACGAGCCATGAGCCTGCGAAGCATGTCAGTGATTGTTCTGCTATTTCCAGAGGAGACTCACTTACCCTTCTTCATCTTGCTGATCAACTCCTTGTTGAAGAGACCGCGGGTCTTCTCGTGGAGTGGGCAGTTGATGGTGACAACATCACACTGGGCCAACATCTCCTCGAGGCTGTCGACTCTGCGGCAGCCAATCTCCTTCTCGACCTCTGGGCTGAGTGGCTGGTAGTCGTAGTAGAGGAGCTCCTTGCAGTCGAATGGCTTCAGGCGGCGGAGCACACGCTCGCCAATGCGGCCCACAGCAACAGTACCGACAACCTTGTTCTCGAGATCGTACTCGTTCTTGGCAACAGCGGCGACGTTCCAGTCACCACGGGCAATCTGCTCATGAGCTGGGACAAAGTTGCGGACGAGGATCAGGATGGTCATGACGACGTGTTCGGCGACTGAGACAACGTTGGAGCCCGTGACCTCGGCAACGGTAATACCGCCATTGGTGGTGTTGGCAGCGTTCAGGTCGACGTGATCGGATCCGATACCAGCAGTGACGGCGATCTTGAGCTTCTTGGCCTTGGCGAGGCGCTCAGCAGTGAGGTAACCTGGGTGGAATCTGGAGCCAAGTCAATGCGTGTCAGGCGAGCTATGGTTTGCTCGAGACCTCTCTTACGGGGTTGTGATGATGACTTCGGCGTCTGGAATGTGCTTGTCGAACTCGCTGTTCTCACCCTCCTTGTCGGAGGTGGTGACAAGCTCGTGGCCTTGCGACTCGATCCATTTTCTGAGACCCAGCTCGTTCTCTGTGGTTCCGAGCAGCTTTGGCTCTTGCTTGGCGTGCTCATGGCCCTTGGAGGTTATCAGTCACAGGGTCCAAGGTGCGGTGGAGCTCCACTGGCTGTTTCCAAGCTAGGTGAAGGAGGTTGAAGATGTCTGCTTACGTCGTAAAGAACGAGGAGGACTTTGCCCTGTCGTTGCGAGGTTGCCGTCAGCGTTCTGACTCCGCCCAAGCTGGCACGCTGTGAGAAGGTGGTGGGTGCTCTCTGGCTAAGCAGAGAGCTGGCTGGGCGAGCCAGACGAAGAGCGGAGCGTGCAAATACCATTGTGAAAGAGGCTTGACGGGTGGTGGTGGTCAAGACGAGAGAAGAAAGGTAGGCGGGAGGTGGATTTGAATTATACGCGTGCCTGCTGTCACCGCTGCGTGTTAGCCGCTCCTTCCCTTTTGCCGATGCGGCTACGGATGCGTGCCTGTCTCGAGGACGCTAGGTTTGGGGCCTGGGCAAGTGATGCTGATCGACGCCGACAACCTGCGGGGGTGCCACTGCCACACTGACCTTGGAGAGCAGCGACAGGAGACAATAGTGGTGCTTGGCTTCTGCAGCTCGAGCTGTGCACGATTGCAAGTACAGGATGCAGCGTTTGCTGGAGAATCAGGCGCGCTTTATACGTGCAGCATGGGGAGAACGAGCTCGGTGGAGCTGGCTACTTGCTACAAGGAAAAGCTCTGCATGCTGTGCGCTCCCGTCGTCCATTGGCATCGAAGCACGAGCGTGACGTTCCCAAGAACCCCACTCGGAGTACTGCACCGCATCGAGAAGGGCCAATGCGAGAAATCGGTGACTTTCGCCAACGATACTGGCAAGTCTCGCCCGACGCGCCTCTCCATCGCAAGCGGGCGGGACAGAGCGGGGAATAATGCATTGGCGACAGGCTGTCGACGAGCGATGGGCGACGGGCGACGGGCGACGGGCGTGGCATCCTGGACCACTTCTGGACAGCGCTGACGGCTGACTGCAGGCCTTGTCGAGCTGGATGTATTGCGGTATTGCGGAAGCCGCTGGAGGCTCCCGCCGTCGAGCTTGCAGGAGAAGAGTGCCAAGAGTGCGGAGGCCAGGCCTGCTCGAAGTGTGACAAGTGTCCCTGCGCAGAGCCGCAAGTCCAGGAACAGCCGGAGCAAGGGAAGCAAGCTCACAATTGACTTTCCGCCCAGCGACACTCAATAAGTAACGCGGACGACCATCGCCATCAACTGACAACCACCTTGAAACGGGCATGCATCCCCAAAACTGCTTGGAGAAGAATCCGGTGTTCAGTCTGCTGCGACAACCGACATCATCGTGGTGCATGCAGCCCACCAAGCTCCGGCGCGTACATGTCGGGACGTCTGACTGTTTTGGGAATGACGGGTGCTCTTACGACTTTCGGTCACCTCACGCTGATGGCTGCGCAGCGGCAGCGGCAACAACGGGTTTTGCATTGGCACTTCTGAGAGCACGCGACGAGACCAAGCCTTGCCGACTGTGAGACAAGCTTCCATAATCTAGCGGAGGAATCTACAAAAGCCGCAATCAATCCACTGCACCACAAGCGACACCGCTGGAAGTGCAACAGTATTCCGTGGAACAGCGGCACTATCCGACACTCTCGACGTCAACAATGTGTTCATGACTTTTGTCTTGCCAGAAGATATCGACCATGGGCCAACGAGAACCTCACAGCGTTCATGAAGTTGAGAGGAGTCAGTAAATGGAGAAAGCCATACCCATTAGAACCTCCGTCCAATCTGAATCATGAACATGGAAACACTAGCAGCGGAGGCTCAGTTCAAGTCTGTTGCCAAGACAAATCTGCTAGCAACCAGGTGTCTGCTTCATTTGCATGGTCGAGAGAAGACCTTAACAATACTCACGATGATGTGCCGAATATGATCATGTTCTTGGCTGCAAGACTGGCATTGATAGCTGCTTCGAGCGGACTTCTGTGTGAGCTTCTGGCCAGCCCGCGATACCCGCACAGTCCAACAGCTCAATTGTACAACCTCACTGCAACTGCCGCAGCAACCCCAGCAGCAACGCTATGCAGGCGAGACTCGACCGATCCTATTCCCCGCATAGCCAAGATGCAGCTATGGAAAGCTCCAAAGCAAGATCACGACGATCGCTTCGAGGCCTACCTACATTTCAACGTGACCTGAGCAAAGAGACATGAACAGAAGAGTTCGCTCCTGAGCTAGGTATCGTTGGCCGATGAACATTGCTGGAACACGCCTGCCATTTCGAAGACGCCAAAACGGCCGAGCGAGGCACTGCAGCATTCGAAAAGCAATCAGATCTTCGAAGGGACAACTGCGTACGACGCATGGATGCAACACGCGGGTGAACCGCGCTTCATGAAGCGCTTTGTGCTCTACAATCTATGATGCAAAACCTCTTGCTCGCAAATAAGACTTGCTACTTCCTCTTAACACCATCGCTTGAACGCTGAACAATTCTTCGAAACCAATGCCGATGATCAAACAGCATCATTAAGACGCTTCTGCCGTTTCTCCACGTCGGCCATCTCCAGTGCCATTTCCTCGTTGAAATGATCCGGCGAGTCAAGATAGACGTGGTGTCCTGCTTTCCGAATGGTGACCACCTTCACATCTCCGTTCTCAAGCTTGCGCTCTTTTTCAGTGGCATTGGCGAGAGCTTTCTTCTGCTCTGCCTTCAGGATCTCAGCCGAAGCATAACCACCCTTGATGTCCATCCAGTCATTCTCGCCGTACATGAACACGATCGGAATGCCCGTTTCGCGAAGGCGCTGCGCTGGATTTGCCGCGGCATTGTCTGGCGAAGGCCCGGTATGCGTGTCCAGGAATTGACGTCCTACGCCATGAATTCGGCGGATCAGAGGCGATCGAGCAAATGCGCCTGGGGCGAGAATATGTGCTAATGCGTACTCTCCGCTACCTCGTTGCCGGAAAAGCGAATACGAGTAGTCATGTAACGCTTGCGCTTCATCGTCAGGAAGATGTGAGAAGCGCCGACTCGTCCAGCCAGAGACGAGCCTTGGACCCAGAGGCCCAGCGTATCGGACCAAAGAGAAGGGACTTATGTTCGCGTCCCATAGCGTTGTCAGCCACCACGGCATCTTCCTCCTCGGTGGCTGCTGTCGGCCTTGCGATCTTCCTGCAGTCTCGTCGCCGGACTGAGTCACCTCGTTCTGCATCGTGCTGGATTCTGGGTCCGGTGCATCGTCGCTCACTGCATATGGATCCTCTGGAATTCCGACCGGTGAAGCCAAAATCAGCTTGTTGAGATGGCCAGGGTATTTCAGCGCATAGCAAACCGCCATATAGCCACCCATGGAGTGGCCAAGCAAAGTCATCTTCTCGATTCCGCGCTTCTGCCGCCACTCCTCCAACGCATCCACGAACCAACTCTCTGCTTCTCTTGCCCTTCCTTCGCGATCTTTCGCCTTCACACTGAATGGCGGCCGAGAGCTGCGACCCATTCCTAACATATCCAGAGCATACAGCTTCCAGTTCGGAAATCGCGTTAGAGCTTCAAAGTTCTTGTAGAAGAAGCCGAGTCCAGCACCATAACCATGCAGCATGACCAGATTATTGTCAACCTCTTCGCCAAGCCTCTCCACACTGAACTCGTTCAAGTAGCGGTTCTTGCCTTTGAGCTGGACCATCTCTGACTGCCATTGTCGCGGGCCGAACGGGTCGTGCACGCTGTTGGTTCGCTGGATGGTAGCATCGCCGGCCTTGTCCACGCTAAGCCCGCTCGTATTCGCGCTGGCAGTTTTGCTGGCCGGATCGCTATCAGGTACTGCTGCTGTCGGTGGTCGTTGAAGGTAGGGAATGAACGACATGATTTTGTGCTCCGTCACCGCGGGAGCAAGTGATGCCCACCATTGTGAGGCGGCCTCTGCGCGAGATATCAGCCCTCGCCTCATTTATGCTACACGCTCGTCCTTTGGGGAATGGTCGGTACCCTTGTAGGGAAGTGGAAAGTACTGTGCTTTGGGCGGCGGTGCTCGACCTTCCCTTTCCGCCGCTTCTTTGTCTCGTTGTCGCGCGAGCTGATAAAAGCTATGTGTTAGTTGTGCGAATCTCTCCATGCGGAAGGGTCGTGTAGTGATTCATGCTGCATACCATTGGCTTAGGCAAGGCTCCTGTAGGCGCTGTAGGATGCGAGGATGTAGTGAATTGGTCGTCGTCCGGATTGGAGGTGGCGGCGGAAGTCATAGTGGAATAATACGCCTTGGGTGCTGGTGACGTGGTGTATGCGGCGGCGGCGATTAGAAGGGTTCGCGCGGAGGCTTGCATGCCACGCTCCCTCGCTGTTAACTCCGTGAACGTGGCTGGCCACCTATCCGCGGTGCGGATTGCTGTTCACGCCGTCTCCGTGTCCGCTCTGGTTGTCGTACGAGTGGCTGTTCAGGCAGCAGCATAGTGTTGGATGAAGCACAGAGTCGATTCTGTTGAACTTCGCCGTTCGAGTGTACCTGCTCCACTCAGGCCCTCAGGCAGCAAGGCTTGGCCTGACCGAGGCGGCAGACAAACCGCTGTCTCGATATACCAAAATCTAAAAACGACTTATGATCCCATAGACCGAGCTACGGATACATATAGAAAGATAATTGCAAGAGGTAGACAAAACTTGCGGATGTTAGGGACTTTTCACACATGAAACGGGCGTCAGATTGCGATGGTAGCCCTAGAAGACGATAAAGCAAACAACGAAGGACTACTATACCAAAGCAAAGCTATAGAGATTGTAGAAGTACTCTCGAAGACGGATCTCCGACTTGTCACATCAATTTTCAGCGATTGGTTGTCTGGTCGTCGCCCTCGAGGGCAGGAAGCAATCGAGACAGCTGAAAGCGACAAAACACTTTCCAGTGAATATTCTAATGAAATTAATTCTACCTGACGTATATACAGAGCATCACCTGCAAGCGGGAAGCCACTCTACGGAACAATCCTTCAACTTTCCCTGGCCTATGTAGCAAATTTGGTGTACACCTTCGCTATGGAGAAAAGCATAGATGGTTTGTCCCTAGGTGCTTCGCTTATTCTACGCAGCCGGCAAGCTGAGGCGCGGGCCGGCGATGGCGAGAGGCTGTTGGCTGGCTGGTTCACGTGCGAAGGCGAGTGCGCGCAACAACCACCACACCGAACAAGCTCCAGAAGCTCCAATTCAACATCCCCAAGTCAATGAACGTGAAATTGGCGGTCCAGTCTGACAAGGTCGTCAGTGCCAATTGCATCGCCGCGGCAGGCCCGTCTCGCGGCCCCTGTCTGGCGGGACAGAGCGCGACACAATTGACAGCTTCAGTCTACGGGCGATCGCTCCAAAAAGACATATTGCATCCACGAAGACAGAACTCCAGCTATGTCCGACCCTATAGACCGCATCGTCAAGGGTGCGCCTCCTCCAGATGTTTCTGCCGAACAGCTTGCGGCAAATGCCAAGGCAAATGCTGCAACAACACCTTCAGTGACAGCACCAATCCCGCCAGCAGCACATTCAGGAACCGTACACGATCCAAGAGAAGCAGTGCCGTCCTCTCCGCCTCAGATCTACCTCAATCTGCTCATTCTGGAAAGCAGTCTGAGGCTGCAATACATATCCTTACGCACCAGATTACGGCTGCATCTGATCTTGTTTACGTGCCTCATTGCCTGGATTACTGGCTTCACCTACCTGTTGTTCTTCAGACCTCGTGAAGATGGCTCTGGAGTCGGCGGGTCCGTATACTGGATCGTGGAAACTAGCGAGAAGCTGGCGTTGTGCTCAGGCATCGTCACTCTCATTCTGTTCTGGGCCACAGGCATGTACGATCGTGGCGTTCGCTGGCCGAGGAAGTTCGTCAGCATCACAAATCGCGGACTCCGAGGCTTCAATTTGAAAGTGGTTGTGGTCCGAGGTGGCTTCTTGCGTGAAGTGATGAGCTGGTTGGCCGTGCTAGACATGGCTGGGTGCTTCCGAGAAGCAAAGGTCAACTTCCAATTCGTGCCGCGAGACATTGAAAGCACAGGAAACAAGGAGCCGCATCACTGGAATGCTCATGCTGCGAAGCATGGTATTTTGGAGGAGGACATCGCACCTGGCGGAGATGTCATTCGTGTGCTGCTGTTACCAAAACCCTTCAGTCCAGATTTCCGCGAAGGTTGGGACAACTTTCGCATGGAGTACTGGGATCGTGAGAACACACGCAGGGCTCAGCTTCGGACGGCGGTGCGCATTCGCCGAAGAGAGGTGGCCAAGCGAGAGGGAGGATTGTTCTGGTGGACAGGGTGGCGAGGCTGGAACAATGTTCGCTTCAATCCTTTCTCGAGCCGGAAGACCCGAAGACAGCTTGAGCTGGACAAGTTGGCGATCCGCGAGAAGATCTCGCATGAAAGTCTGAAACAAAAGAAACAACAGCGAAGGGGAAGCATCCTTCGCGATGGCACGGCTTCAGGTACGCATTCACGGAGCGGATCGGTGTCGAGACAAAACTCTCGAACATGTACGCCTGAGCCAGACTCTCGACCGACTACGGCGGCCAAAGAGGGTCGCACAAGACGAGGATCCTCCGCTTCCAGCGCAAGCGGCAGAAGACCTCGCAAGATGCTTGCTGCGCATGAACCCAGCCGTCTTAGTGCGACGGAGACACTTTTGTACGGTAACGGGGACCTCAGCGTGGCAGATACTGTGTCGAAGAGGAATAGTACTATCAGCACAGGTAGCTCTGATTCCAGAGAGGGGAGCTTTGACGCAAGGCATTACGATGAGAGTCTCAGGATGCAGAAGATCAAGCAAGAACCAATCTTTGCAGGCAAGATCAAGCAGGAGCCTGAGGAGGACTAGTATATACCCGACGGACAGGGCACGCGGAACGATTCAACGACCGGCTTGCGGACAGTGTGATCCTCGCGAAATGATAAATGCGAGCCACGTCGAGCATAATGTACGAATCTAATGCCTACTGAGCGCGACAATCAGACGAGTCGCGACTTCCAAATGCAGTCTTTCTTGTTCGCTCTCGAGTCTTCTTTCCGAACTAGAAGGGTAGTATTAAAATTTTTGATAGCGATAAGTATCAGCGGACTTCCCTTGAGATCGTGATTCAGACAATAGAGGCATTACATAACTGCTCATGAGCCGCCGCTTGCAGCCTTTGCTCGCTTGTTGTCCAGCTCCACCTTACTATACCATATTCCTCCAACAACGGTGATAGCCATCCCAACTCCATTCAGCAATGTCATCTGTACACTGAAGAGAACAATTCCAAGTACAATAGTCAAGATCTGTTTCAGGTTGGCGCAAACGCAAATTGTGAGTGCTCCTGCAACTTTGTTCGTCTGGAATGAGACGATGTTGAGGGCGAAAGCTCCGACGGCATTGGTAGCCAAGATTATCGAGAAATATGGCGTGAAGATGTTGTCGGTCGAGATGATTTCTCTGGCTCTCGCGAGTTCCCCACTTCCCCAGGCATAGAACAGGCATTGAACTGCTGCGAGTGGCGCCATGCGGAAAAGCAGCTCCAGAGGCGAGAGCTTCAGTGTGCCTGTCATCAGACGATTGCTGGCGATGGCCTTGAGTGCGGCCAAAACGACACCGAGAAGTGTCATGGAGAAGCCATAGACAGTGAAGTAGTAGTCGCCATATGTTGCCAAAGCAACACCAACAATCAGGGGTATCATGGTGAGATAAGTCTGCTGAGAGAATGTTCGAGCGTAAAATATCCGATAGATAAGGAGTGTAGCAATCGGAGTTGTGGAACGGAGGACTTGGTGAAATGGTACAGAGACAAGAGCACTAGATCTGTTAGATGCGATCCTTCTCTGCATCGTAGTCTCCTCTGCACTTACAGCGACACATTGCTTATGGCAATATTCAGTGTGAAGAGACTTGAGAAAGCCACGAGGATGACGTTTTCTCTCGTCGCTAGCCTTGTCAGCTCGAAGTGTCCCATCGCCAGCAATGAGGCACATCCTATCGCGGTCGTGCCAGTGTGTAGTGCCGTGAGCAGCCAAGGCAGTTTCGCCTTCTGCATTACAGCCTTGTTCGAGAGCGTCAAGAACAGGTTGAGCATGAAGTATAACGACAGAAAGACAAGCTTTCTGCTCGAGGAAACAGTATATTCCAGTGGGGCATCTTGTGCCTCAGCTGCTCTTTCTGTTGATGGCTCATCTCTGTACACGAGGCCAGCCTTCTCATCTTCATCTTGCGCTCCGAGTGAGAGGCTGTTCCGACGCTCAGGAGTCAACATTGCGGGACGAGTGTATCGTGGTTTCCAAAGAACGTTCGTGCCAGGTTCAGCGTTCGTCGAAGGTAAAGACAGTGTGGGTGAGTAGTCAAAAGAGTGTCGGGCCACGAACACAGCGATACATTGGAAATGGTCACTTTGCAGCGTGAAGTCGAAGTACAGTGGTGAGTTGTAGACCACATTGTGATAGAGCCACTTTGTTACAGGATCTGACTAGGGATCTCGCATTGCGGCGCTTGTCCAAAGCGGACGTCCGACGGCATCCCGCCGCCTTTCGCTGCACAGATCGGTGAAGTTTGGTATTGACGCGTGTGGTGGATGCGGTAAGGCGAAGTATCTCTAGGAGCACAAGTGCAGCGGCGTAGGTTCCTCGGGCATCCGATTTGGTATACGGACGTGTAACCGCGTTGTAAGGAGCGCCACCCAATCTCCTCCCGCCTCCTATCCTCCCGCGCTCAGCATCGAAGAAGTTAGATAAAGCATGAAGATCTGCCATGGCGCGGAAGGTCAGGCAGGAAGCGTGCCAAGCATCACGGTCAAGCATCGATCAAGTGAAGTACATATGTAAGAAGTCGTGGCAAAGAAGTCGAGCCAAGCCAGGCCTGCATGCATGACTCGCGCAAACGACAGGCTGCCAAGTCTTCCTCGCCTCTCACATTCGACCTCGCTCTTGCCTTCGCAATCCAGCACAGCGCTTCACGCCGTTTGCACCTGCAGCTTCACCACCCACGCAAACGTCGCACAAGCTGCAAAATGTCTTTCATCGCCGCCAACAGGTATCATACTCCAGTCTCACCACCGCGAGACAGCGAGCATGCTAACAAGAAAAATTTGAAGATGCGTGGCTATGAGGAGGACTTTGGCAGCAAGAACGGACACGCATACGTGACTGCGCGAAACAAGACCCACGACCACACCGGCGGCTTTCGCAGCTCGCTCTTCGCCAAAATTCCTGCGCCGCCTTCTCCACCAACACAACCAGACGAGTACCACAATCAAGATGCCCGCTTCACCGGAAACAGATGGCCTCAGTGCGCGCGTCAGCAAGCTGTCCATAGCGAGGCCCAGCATCGAGCAAGCGGATGGTCAGATGACTACGCAAGATACTGGGCATGGCAAGAGCAGCAGTGGCATTCGCAAGAAGCCCCGCCGTCGGGCCAAAGCAGCTTCGAAGCAGCAGGAAATTGGTACGCAGCGGGTGCGCCCACGCAGTGCTATGGCGATGACTATCGCCCACTATACCAACAGCCACTGACCAAGCACCAATTTCCAGACAGTGCTCCTATAGCCTCGCGCACGCGGTCACAGCTCAATGCAAATGTGCCTGCTTTCAAGCCGCAGCAACACCAGGCTGGGTCAGTCGCAGCCTCAAAAGTGCTTGGAAGGTTGTGGAGTGTTAACAAACATTCCAGATACGGCGCAGAACCAGAACCAGTGCACGCGAACAAAGCTCCCAAGAAACAGCGGAAAGTACTCCAGAACGCGCTCGAGGAGTTTGCCGAACACCAGAACACTGCACCTTCAAATCTCAAGATTCCACCCACTCATCACCAAAATCATTATCAGCGCCGGCAGAAGACAACGCCGCGCCTTAGAGTCATGGATCGCCCGCAACCAGCCGAGTACTATCTCGATGCAGCCATTCAACCACCGACGCGTCTGCATGCGCCGCGCCCGCTCCTCGTCATTCTTGACCTGAATGGCACTCTTCTCTTTCGCAAGAATCGAGGAAGAGTCTTTGTAGCGCGACCTCATGTGACGGCGTTTCTGGACTATTTATTCGCCAACCACAAAGTCATGGTGTGGTCTTCGGCCAAGCCAGAGAATGTGGACCCGATGTGCCGGGAACTCTTCACGCATGAGCAGTACAGGGATCTTGCGGCAATTTGGGCACGCGACAAGCTTGGAATACCAGCGGAAGCGTACAATCAGAAAGTGCAGGTCTACAAACAGCTTTCCTGGGTCTGGAATGACACTTTGATCCAGGCCTCCAATCCTGTACCCGATATGATGTGGGACCACACCAACACAGTTCTCATCGATGATAGCATCGAGAAGGCTGCAAGCGAGCCGCACAATCTGGTCGAGATTGAGGAATTCGAGGATAGAGAAGATCAGAAGACGACGAACGTGCTCGGCCAAGTGATATCGTATCTGGATGAGCTGAAGATGTGGAATAATGCATGCTCATACATGCGAAGCAGTCCATTCAAGTATCAAGCTGAGCTGGACTCCCCGGCTACAGCCATGGAACAGGCTGGAGGAGATTCGGATGAGGCCGGTGGAGTTGCTTTGCGTTGACATTGTTGCATTGAGGTGGGGTGTGGGGTGGAGAGGTGGGCGACTTTACGCTGTAAGAAGTTCTGATCAAGATGTCTTTGCTGGCCCCGGTAGATATACCAGAGCACAATCAGTGCCCACCGCGCCGACTTGCGTGGAGCTGGACTTGATGGTACTGTATACCAGCGGCATTGGACGACCTGCGAGCGAAGAGGGTCAGTAGAAGGAAGATCGTATTCAGAGTCTAATAGGGACCTGCGGCCATCGCTTTCGTGCTTTCTATCTCTATGCTCCTTTCTATTAGGCATCTCGTTGCTTTGTCATGACCTCTGCCAACTTAGCTGGAGATTCGAGTTGCAAGGGCGTTCCAAGCATCCGCTGAAAGCTCGCCCTGAGCGACATTGATTGCCACTGCCTGGACACTGCTTTCTTTCTCATGCAGCTCATCCAGAAACTCCACGATCTCTCCGGCAGCCTCCTCACTCTGCACGTCGACCTTTGTGTCCTCATTCGGATCGAAGATAATCTTGGAAGTGGCGATTGGCAGCCCAAGTGCAGCACTAACAGCGTCACCCACAGCTCTCAACTCTTCAGGCTCACTAGTCACAACAACGCGTCCATGCTCATCCTGCGCGACGTCAGTCGCACCTGCCTCTAGAGCGGCTTCGAGCACTTCTTCCACGCCTACGCCATGCTTCTCCTCAAAAGTTATCACACCTTTCTTCGTGAACAAATAGCTCGTGGGCGTTGTGGTGCCACCGTGTTCTTTCATGGCCAACCTGACATCAGCCAAAGTCCTGAGCTTGTTATCTGTCTCGCACTCCACAATGATTGCCACGTTATTTGGCAGAATTCCTTCGACTGTCACATTCTCGAGGTGTGCGCCACTGATGGACCTTCCTTGTCCGCGAGCGATTGCTGCTTCGATGGAGGCTTTGGCGAAGCCTTCTCGTTTTGCTTTCGTGATCAGATCAGCGAGTCGTGGATTTGAATTCGGATCGCCACCAAAGAGCTTCGAGGCTGTTGCAATCTCCTGCGAGAAGATGGATCGAGCTTTGTTCTTGCGCGAATCGACCACGGCCTTGTCGTGCTTGATTTTGCTCCATCGGGAGTGTCCAGATGCTGCATACTGGCTTGATGAAAAGCCTCGTAGTTGCAGACGGCATTGCCGGCAGGTGTAGCGATGTGATGGGATGCCCACGAGGTGCAATAGTCCTCTGCTTGGAGCCATGTTCATTTACAGAATCTAACGTAAAGAAAGTCGGAAAAGACGGCGCGGAGCCCCGTCCGCGCGCCGCGCACAGCTGGACTTGGACTTGACTGACAGCTCCTGATCTTGCTACACTCTCACATTCCTTGCGTGCCTCAAGCATATGACTGCGCTTCTAATGTCATAGTATACAGCAAACATGGCGGAGTCAGAAACGACGCCGTCCTCGAAACCTACAACAGAGAAAGGAACAGAATCGGGAAAGAGAACAGAAACAGCAGCCAATGCTAGGGAGCCAGAATCACCCTTCGTCTTGGATGTGCCCAAGCTCCGTTCTTTGCCTTCCGAGCAACAGGGCCTATACCTATTAACGTTTACTGCCGACCTTGCGCGCCATGCCGAAGGACTAAGCGACGAAGAGAACAGTCGCGTGCAAGGAGACATCAAGAAGGAACTATACAAAGTCATATGCTTGATTTCTCCACCGCCTTCGCGCGTGATCAGGAAGAATGTTGGGCGATGCTGGGCAAGCCTTTTCAGCAAAGAAAGCAGGCGGGTCCTGTATGAGTCTATCAATGAGCTAGTGGCTGTAATAGCTTCTGGCAGGGAGAAAGAGCCAAAGACGAAGCATGCGGCAATATACTGCTTAGGCGCCATATTCGAAGCAGCTGGCGACAGTGCTACAAGTCTGTCGCCTCTGGCTGTCAATGCCATCCTCAAACATTTGAAAGCTGCAGCAAGTGATGCAGGATTGCGCAGTGCCATCTTCCGAGCATGTGCACGTATCGCGAGAGGCATCAGAGTGGCTATCGATGAAGAGCTTGGACGCGCAATCTGGAAACAAGCTCGGAACGCCGCCGGCAGCGACAAGTCATTGCTTGTTCAGCAATCGGCGTTCGAAGCTCTCACTGAGCTGGTTCAGACCACGTCCTACTTTGACGATTCGAACGCATTTGAAAAGCTTCAGGCAGCGGTATGGAGAGCGATGGAAAGTCCATCGACGCGTGTACGGCACGCTGCGGCATCATGCCTGGCTGCGCAACTTGTGAAGAGCTACACGGAGGTCGCAAGCAAGCATGTTCTCAAGACCAAGAAGCCGAAAAAGTCGAAGAAGAACGATAAAGTGGAAGAATTGGAAGAGGACTCCGCAGGAAGACCGTCATCTCCTGCTCCGGATAAGCCAGCAACGGCTCTGTCATTCACATTGCAGGAAATCTTGAAGATCCTCTCCACGCAGTTCTGTAAGCCATCAACGCCGAATAGAGGCCGTGCTGGCATAGCAGTCTGCTACGTGAAAGTCTTGAGAGCACTGGGAGAGAGCGTCGTTGAGAATAAATATGGCGAGATCGCAAGGCACCTGTTCTATGAGCTGTCAAACTATGCTGGATGGCAATACAACAAATATCGACAGCTTATGGCACGCAAGTACGTCCGCCTCATCCTGGAACGTGCTGTTGGCAGCATGATAGGCGAAACGGCGCAGCTTAACGCTTGTCGATTCCTGATCAACGATATCATCAAAGACTATCCGCAAGCTGTCAAGGAGCGGCCAGAGCCTCCTAAGGCTGTCCTGATAGGCGCAATCAGTGCTTTGAGCTCACTCATACATCGCATCGACTCCGCAGTCGCAGTCATCGCCGAGCACTGTCGGGAGGGTTTGATTCAAGTGCTGCAGCATCCTAGCTTCACTGTTCAGATCCAAGCGGCTCGAGCACTGCGGACTTTCGTACTCGCCTGCCCACAGCAGTTACTGCCGACAGTCACGATTTGCATGAACAGCGTGGGTCGCGAGCTTAACTTGCTTGGAGGTCCTAGGCAGAGTCAACGGAGATGTCTGGGCTACGCATACGGCCTCGCCGCTATTCTAAGCACTTCTACGCATCATCCTCTATATGGATCGGTCGATGTGTACGCTCGCGTGTTTCAGAAAGCCACTGAGTTGCTCAAGTCCAGTGGCAGCACCGATCTGCGCAATTCGAGCTGCCAGTTGCAAGTAGCTTGGATTATGATAGGCGGACTCATGTCGTTGGGCCCGAACTTCGTCAAAATACACCTAGCACAACTCATGTTGTTGTGGAGGAACGCTCTACCCAAGCCGATGCTGAAAGAGAACATGGGTCAACGCAACATGCTGGAGCTGAGCTACCTTTCTCACGTCCGCGAGTGCGCCCTTGGCTCAATCAAAGCTTTTCTCACGTTCAACCAGCGGCTCTTGACCTCTGATATATCACGCCGTCTGTCGGCTATGCTGGAGAATACTGTATCGTTCCTACAAAATTTGCCCTCCAAAAGGACCAGTGACGAGCCCTCCAATCGCCTGACTGCAGCATTGCAGCTCCAAGACTACGAGGTTATGGTCAGACGACGTGTTTTCGAGTGCTTCACCCAGCTACTCTGCCTCAGCCCAGCAGGCAGCATCGAGGCCACTGCGTCATCAACGATCTTGCCACTCGCTGTGGCGTCCTTCTCGGATGTAGAGCATGATGCTCCAAACTCGCTCGCTGCTGCAATTGCCACTGCTGCGGCTTCTTTGGAGAGCATCTGGGATCTCGGAGATAACTATGGCTTCGGCGTGACAGGTCGCATCCACGGCCTTGACCTGCGAAGCCCGATCGATGGAAAGCGAGAAAGGCATTGGTCAAGCCATGATGAGGTGGAGTCCGAGATTGACGAGACCATACTTTCGCCTGTTGGCAAAGCAATCGAGAATGATGCCACATGCTGCTACCTTGGAGCTGCCTATGGCGAACACGACCGCCCTGGTCCCCCAGCCACAGAAGCCGTTGATGCCGCAATAGCTGCATTTGCGCTAGCTTTCCCGCTACAATCGCCACGTATCCAAGATAGCACTCTGGAGCAGATTGCAGGATCCATGAGTGCAGTCTTACCAAAAGAGCCATTCAGAAAGGTCGCCATCACTGCCAATGTAGCTCTAGCCCTTTTTACGACACTTCGAGTGGCGACCGGTGACGCGGGCTCGACCAAGGGAGAGCTGAGAAACATGAAAGCTGAACAGTCTATTCAGAGTCTGCTTCATGTGTGCGTCCAGGATCCAGATCAAAGCATCAGGTCTATTGCAGCAGCCGCACTTGGTCGACTTTGCTTGAGCTCTGGTACAGCTTTAACCGGCTCTGAGGTCACCTGGCTGACTGAGAAGATTGTCAAGAACCGGGAGCCTCACGTCCGCGCAGGCTGTGCCAGTGCTCTGGCTAACATCCATTCGCAGCTCGGAGGCATGGCTGCTGGCCTGCATATGAAGAACATCGTAGGCATTTTGATGTCACTCGCAGCCGACACTCATCCTTTGGTCCATTTCTGGGCGCTCGACAGCCTCGCGCAAATTGCGGAGTCGGCAGGCCTCAACTTCTCGCCGTACGTGACGAGCTCAATCGGCATGCTTAGTCAACTTTACGTTTCGGATGGTCACAACGAAGAGACGCTGGCGCAAGCCTCCTCCAACATGGAGATGGAGTTGCCAGTCTCTGCAGCAATCGCTCGAGGAGTCGATGCAATCATCAATGTTCTAGGACCAGACCTGCAGGACATGGCCAAGGCCAGAGATATGATACTAACACTCGTTCGTCTCTTTTCTGAAGAAGAGGAACCTTCAGTCTTGCTTGAGAGCCTGCGGTGCTTAGAACACCTGTCGTTGTATGCGCCAGGATACAGCGAATTTGCCGCTTATGTGCGGCGATTGCAAACCGATATCGACTCTTCGTCTCCAGAAATATCTTCCCTTGCGCTGCATGGGATGTTTACGCTGATGCGACGTGACACGCCAGAGGTGATAGGTGCTGCGAGACCTGGTCTGGAAGATCGCCTTTGGGAATACCTGAATTTTGAACCAGACCAGAAGTCAATACAGAATATTTTCACAAATTGGCTGCAGCAGAACGGGTCGAGTGATCCGGGCGATTGGATCCAGCGATGCAACAATGTGCTCACGAAGACGATGACAAGATCTGAACAAGCACCAAAGACAGCAGTTCCCACCACTCCTGCTGCGCCAGACCTGCAAGATGAAGAAGTCGCTGGCTTCGCAATCACAGCCGGCGCACAGAAAGAAGATGACGCCCAGGCTCCGTCGTCTCACAGGAGTTGATGCGTTGGCAAGTGCGTCTTTTCGCCATGGAGTGTCTATTGAACCTGATCGCGATGATCCGTAAGGAAGCCGCCATAACTGACGATAGTCCTGGCGAGGCAGCACTTCAAGCCCGGGTCGCCGACGTGATCCGGATTGCATTTTCAGCTTCGACCGCAGGTGTTGCGGCGTTGAGAGTTGTGGGTATGCAGATCATCGACCAGATCTTGAAGATGTTTGGCAAGACGCCAGACCCAGACTTCGCTGAAGCGATGCTGCTCGAACAGTACCAAGCACAGATCAGCTCGGCGTTGACACCGGCTTTTGCAGCCGACTCATCGCCTGAGCTCGCTGCCGCAGCCGTGAATGTCTGCGCTACATTCATCGCTACTGGCATTGTGACTGACCGAGAGCGCATGGGCCGGATACTGAAGACGCTCGAGTCAGCGCTAGACAGTTTCTCGCGCGATACGGATACAGCCAGCATTGGCGATTTGAGAGCGCTGAGTGCAAATGCTCAGGTTATGGTTCGCACGGCAGTCTTCTCTGCCTGGGCAGAATTGCAAATCGCCAGCGGCGAGCAAAAGTACTTGATCGAAGTCGTCAAGCCGCACATTGGCCAGCTTGTGCCTCTTTGGATTTCATCTTTGCGCGAGTACGCACGCTTGCGATTTGAGCCGGACATCTCTGCAACTACTGCCACTCCTGCGACGTCTGCCGACGTGGATTTGGTGTATGCTGCATTGAACAGAGAAACACTTCTGAAGTTCTATCATGCTTCTTGGCTGAGCCTTGTGGATGCCATCGCCAGCTTGGTTGACGAGGACAGCGAATTCGTCTTTGACGCTCTCGACAATAAGCATACTGATCAGAAGAATGGGGATGGCGAGCCAGGTGCTGTGAATGGCATTGTCCGGAAGAGTACAGGCATCAATTATCGAGAAGAGCCTGTCGCTTTCTTCTTCGTCCTGTATGGGCTGGCCTTCGAATCGTTGGCAGTGCGCAGCGTCGACGATGATGTGCTTGCACGGCAGCGAAATCTGGACATTCTCGAAGCGTTGAAGAAGATTCTCCGACCGTCAGTCTCAGGCAATGCAGTATACCAGGAGGTTGTCTTTTCGGAGACGATGGACTTGCTCGATCGAATGGTCCTCACCGAAAGCCTCGGCGTGCAGCGCGTGATTGTTGAGATTGCTCGCAACCTGTGCCTAGTGCATCCATCGTCAAGAAAGGGACAGCAAACTCCGATCAACGGCGAAAATCTATCCGACGACATTGAACAGCTCTTCGAGCTGACGCGTATCATAATCCTGGTCATCGCTGGACTGGTGCCGGGTCTCGCAGACTCACCAGTCGCTTCGCATCTCGAGACGTCCGAGGAAGCAATCGCACTTGTTCGCGCAGCACTCCAAGCTCTGGTCGACGTGTCTGAGGTGTTTCCCTCGATTATCAAGACAGATCTCCATGCATCTATTCTCCATATCTTTGTCACCATCCTCAGCACTGCAAGCTGCCAAGCAGCGGTTTTGCCACAAGCACTTCCGATCTTCAGAAGATTCATTGCCAGCTTGGCCGAGGATGAAAGACCAAACACTCGACAACAGGTCCAGAACGCTCTAAGACGCATGTTGGCCATCTTGAGAAATGCCCAGAAACGAGAGACCGAAGCCAGTCTACCCTGCGAGAAGAACACCTTGCTTGCAATCACTGTTCTCTTGTCGGCGGCGCAGTCCTTGTTCGAGACCGATGATGCGCTCATCATCCGATACATAAACGAGCTTCGTGAAAGTCTCGCAGCACCGAACACCACCAAAGTGGCCTCTGGCTGCTACAGAACTCTTCTGCTCCAAGGGGTTGCGCCTCGTCTGGCCTTTTCACATGCGGTCAGCTTCATTCTAGAAGCTCCGGAGCTGGAAGGAATGCATGAATCTAAGCTGGTAATGGCGCACACCTTGACATCATATGTCGCGAAGTTGTCCCCGGCGCAAAAGCCACCGGCAGTCGTTCTCGTCTTGAATGCGCTGCTCAGTTGTGCCGCCAAAGACGGACCGCAATCTTATGCAGGCATTGCAGCTAGGACTTTGGAGCTTGCCGCTGCCGACAGCGCCACGTTCAGAGCGCTGATCACAAGCATGGCTGGAGAGCGCAAGCAACTGATGGCGCAAGTGCTCAAGTCACAGGCCGGCAATCGCAACAGCAGACGAGACCCCACGGACCGAGAGCCAACAATCGCTTTGAAGATGAATTTCTGATCCGGCGACTATCCACGAGAGGCATTATCTGTCGTCGCCTGACGCTGCGACTCATTTGATTGTTGCGTCGCCAACTCATGCTGGTCAGCGTTGTGAGACCTTGCGTTGGCTCGATCCCCTTCCAGTTTAGTGCTCGCGAACATGGAAAGCATTGCCAGATCATAGGAAGCCTTCAAGCCACCAGCTACTACAAACGAAATCCAGAAGCGGCCGCCCTGAGCCAGTATGCCCGTGATCAAGGGCCCGGAACTTTGACTCGTGGTTTTGACAGTATTGACGACACCCATAACCGCGGTCCGCTCCTCGGGCAGGACGACAGCGGATAGAAAGGCACTTCTGGGTGCCTGATCCATAGATGCCAATGACGAGCGTGCAACGAGTAACACGATGGTCATGAAAAGTGATGATGGGACCGGAAGTAGAGCAAGAAAGATTGCGCTCGGTAGATGTGTGAAGACCACTTCATCAGTCAGAATGTCAGCATCAATCAATCGCTCTGATCCTCGCGAATGATCTCAACTTACTTGTTCGTATCAGCCCGATTCGTTTTGCCACTGAGCTTGCGAGCATATTTCCCATACTCGACACAAACTGCGCACTTGCCATGATTGTGCCAAGCGTACCCTCTTCAATGCCAAACTTGCGGGAGACATAGTATGCAATCATCGATGCTGGAACCATTCCACTCGCGAGCGAGTCAAAAACGAATAGACTGCAGAGCTTCGCAAGGATGATCTGCGACTTCTTCGACAGCTGGAACCAGCGAGGCTTCTTCGGTGGCTCAGGTTTAGGCGGAGGGGTTTCTTCTTCTTCTTCTTCTCCCGCATCGTCACCTTCAAGGAATGGCTGCTGCTCCTCGGCCGCGTCCACTCTCTGCTGCCTCAGCTCCACATTGTTTCCAGGCACAGGCTCAGATTTCTCAATCTCACAATTCTTACTGAGCAAGAGCGTCATTCCAGCCTTCACGGCTCCAATGATCGCATAAACCCAGAAAACCAATCTGTAACTCGCAACCTCACTCCATCCCCGACTTTGCACACTCTGCGTAAGCCATCCTGCGCCCAGACTACCGGATGCAGCGCCTAAAGTCCCAGCTACAACGTACAAAGCAAAGATATCTGATCTCGTGTTCGCCTCGCTTAGATGTGCGAGCGTGGACTCTTCCACGGCACGGAAAGGTCCGATTTCGTTTCCACTGGGAGAGATAACGCCCACGATCGCTGCGAAGAGTAGGAACCAGTAATTGGAGAATGTGGCGAAGATGATTCCGGAGAACATCATTAGAGCTGCTCCTACAAGCAGAATTCGACGACGGCCTAGAGTGTCTGCTACTAGTGTTAGGGCGAGGGAGATGAGGACGTCTCCGACCTAGGAAATGTCAGTTTTGGTACTGATGGGATGTGTTGGAGAGGTATTACGAGTGTCAGTGTCATGAAGAGACCGATCTTGGTGTCGCTATGGCCTAGACTGGCGAAGTAGAGAGCCAGAATCAGAGTGCTTGAGCCGTATGCGAACATTCGGATGAACCTGGTCGTGAGCAGGATGTGGACATCTTTGCTGGAGTTGACGAGTGTGGTGAAGCCTAACTCGTTGCTGATGCGATGGAGGAGGCTTGCAGTTGTCATATTTTCGTTAATTCTGGAAGCTCTTCATCGACTCCATTCGGTGAAGCAGGTTTGGTCAAGACGGTCACGACACCTTGAGCGGCATTGCTATCGTGATGTGAGGTCGGAGACAAAAGTGACAATAATCTCGGGCGAAGAGAGAAGCCAAACGACGTAGCCGTGATCGTCATTGCATGCAGACTCCTCAAAGAAGACATCCCGTGATCGTCCCGGACCATCCAGACTACTGCACTGAACATCATGTCTATCGTCTTCGATGCCTTCCGCATGCAAGGGTGCCATCAACATATAATGAATGACATTAGAGTTCACGATACGAGATGCATACATACCACGATAGGCGAGCTCAGATGCCAACAAGCTCTCTACGGCCAACTCTATAGATATGTGAGGTAGCTAGCTATTGATAGGTATCTCACTTACTCAGAACCACGTTCGATCTCCAGAACCTCATCCAAAATGGACTATCCGCCACTTGACGCCGCAAGCAAGGATCCACACGCAGGCACGAAATACGACTTCGCACGAGACCTCATAGGGTAAGTTCCCGCAATCGGTATTTTCTTGCTGGAGAAGCTTGACCGTCATCAGATATGGTCGACATCCACCTAAAGCGCAATGGCCAGATGACGCCAAAATCGCTGTCTCCTTCGTGATCAATTACGAAGAGGGAGCAGAGCAGAATGTCCAGAATGGAGACAGCCAGTCCGAAAACGCCTTGACGGAGCAATCTGATCGGCCTCCAAGACCCTACCTCCATTCAGGCGCCCCGCTTTGTAGGCTTAGCTTGGACACCACCTTCCATACCACCTTCTATACCACCTTCTACCTACCCACTACCTTCCACCTGTGCTTGTTTCTATTCTAAATCGTTCTTATATTATCTATGCTAAGTACACTAATATCTATTTGGTTAGCGGTCTATGCGAAGCCTATAGCGGAGCGCCTAAAGGCAAACCGTGCGGCCCTTATACAATTGCCTACGGGTATTTAGTATAAAGTGAAATACAGAACAACAACTATATCAGATATAGACAAACCCAGAAAAAGGGTCCTACGCATTAATACGGTCTATAGAATTGTCTATATAAAGTACTCTATAAAATGTTAATTAAAACCTCTATCTTCTATATACTAAGATATGTTTCCTACGAGACTCGTTTGTTCTACCCTACCTAGTGTCACTTATATACAAACAGTATATAAAAGCCTAAACAAAGCACGTACGGGCCGTCGCACTAACTATCTCTCGAACCTCCCGTACTTAGAATGCCTAAATTCTTCTACCTTTGCCTTTATCTCGCTACCGAGGGCTATATACCTCTACTAACCCAACCCATTAATCATTTGCTATTACTCGCAGCTACCGCATTAACTAGTACGACCTCGCACTCGATTATACTTCCTTAAGGGCCGCTAGTTACTTCTAGGCGCTTGCGGAGTGTTTCTAAGTGTACCTCGTTGTCGCTATACCCTATAAATTCTATCTCCGACATTAACATTCGCTATCTAATAACACTAGTAACTGTTCGTACCGACTCGAGCTCCGTAATCTCTAATGTATTAGAGTGCCGACCCGCCTCGTCCTATATTAGTATTTGCGACCTTATCGCCGCCGCCGCCGCCTATATTTCGAGATCTAGCTTCCGACACTCGAGTATAGTAGCTAGCGCGCATCGCCGCCTACAATGCCTCTTAAGAACCTTAGCAGAAAGAAGCAGAATGCCGTAAATCAGCAGAAGACTAAGGAGCGTAATAAGAAGCGTACGGATAGGCGCAAGCGTGCTAATAGCTAGAGTAATAAACAGCACTTTCTAGTATAGCTTCCTAGGCGCGCTGCGGTTAATCGAGAGCGACTAGATTTCAGCTACCTGCTAGCGGTCTAGTAGCCTAAGAATAAGCAAGATTATAAGGCATAGTTCTAGGGTCGATGCGATCGTATTAATACCGCTAATAAGACTAAGCGCTTATTATAGGATCAAGTCAAGCAACTCGTATACGATGTAGCAGCATATCTAGAAGCAAAGAACGTCTACCGCAACATCGTTACTACTAGCCTTGTGAAGCTGTTAGACCGCCTCTATCTAGGTAAAGGTTATTAGCTAAAGGATGTCCAAATCGATCTAGTCTATACGCTTGTCTTTAGTAGCAGTAATGTCTTACAAATCTCAAAGATAGGCGAGGGCAAGAGTCTCGTATTTATGGCCTTTACGTATCTAACCGGCCTAATAACGCTCCAATTTACACTACTAAACCGCCTCGGCGAGGAATAGGTAGAGGCTATCGACAACCGTTATTAGTAACTCTAACTAGGTAGACAGGCAGATAGACAGGTTTAGCTAGATAGCATTGTTAACGCTGTTAACATTACCTCTGAAACTATAAGCCTCTAGCCTAAGCTATTAGAGCATATCGCTAATAGCCGCTTTTATTATATTATCCTAAGTCTAGAGACTAGTACTAGTCCTACATTCCGGAAGCTGCTATAAGATCCAAAGGTGCGCGCTCGCATTAGTTTTATAGTTATTAATGAAGTCTATCTTATAAACAAATGGCGCGACTTTCGGAAGGAATATATACAGATCTTTGTATTGCGCAAGCTGCTCCGTAATAACACAGTCTAGCTTGGCTGCTCTGCGACTATGTCTAAGGAGACAGAGGAGTTTGTGCTTAAGTATAGTAGCTTCCGTCTCGTTAGCAATCAGCCATTCTAGACCAAAATTATCCGTAGTAGTATCGACCGTCTAGATACGACATATATGCTGCGCACTATTCTAAAGAACTAGCTCCGCTTATATAAGTACCTCTACTTTACAATTAGTAGCGCATTCGACCTAGAAACTAAGCAAGCTACGCTAATGAACATTAAGAAGGCCCTTCTATTTATCGATAGTCGTAAGTATGTCTAGGATTTAGCTAATGTTATTCGGCACTAGCTAGTCGCGACGACCGCTAAATGCGAGGACCTAAAGAAGCGATATACTTAGGACAACAAGGGTGTTAATATATATACTATAGTGACCTTCTATACTAGCAGTATCGCTAAGCGAGACTAGAAGCGGCGCTATAGTCGCTTCTGCAAGACTATAGAGCATCTAGATAGTCTATTAGAACACCGCATTATAGTTGCTACGACTGCGTTTAGTATCGGCCTTAATGTGCTAGATATTAAGCTTGTTGCTTAGGCTAGATTTACTATTACACGCGATATTAAAGATGTTATCTAGCGGCTTAGTCGTATTGGTCGTGCTATTCTACGTAGCCTAGCCTTCATTTTCCTACCGTACTACATTAATAATAGCATTAAGCAGCTACTACTAGACTCAAACTATCCGGCGATTAGGCCGCGCGGCCGACGTAGATCGCATACTCTATTCCGGCTATTAGGTCTCCGCTAGTCTAAGCTTCTAGGAGAAGATGCTAATACGCCCGGTACTCGAGAAGTCGCTAACGATAATAGTGATAATAGTAATAATAATAGCTATTAGACTAAGAAGGAAATAGAGCTACGCGACAAGATTCCTCGAATATAGCGTAAGTTCTAGAATAATCATCTCCGCGGCTAGTACGGCATATACCTACGCAAGGTCGTCCTTCGATATCTTAGTAAGGACAAGGCAATATATTTCTAGTAGCTACTAGTAGTAGAAGACTGCTATAACATCTGCAATCTAGACCTAAATACCCTCTATATCGATACACCTCTAGAGGGTGCTACTCCTCCGAAATTCAAGGCACTAAGAGCCGGTACTCGCCTAGCATTCGGATTCAGTATGCTAAAGGATTGGGTATCAAAGCGACCTAATATTCGGTATCCGTATTAGTTAAATCGTATAAGATTCGACATTCTATCGATAGAGACTATCGATAATCGTATACTAGCTAATATTGCGAACGTATTTACTGCCGCTAACTCTATTAATATATAGAACGATATTGCTATCGACGAGGATCTCCTAAAGCAGAAAGCGGCGGATTTTGTAGATTAGTTCTAGAAGCTTTAATAGCATAAGCAGCCCTTCTCGATATAGGAAGTTATCGACATCCTAAAGAGTATTGGTCTAGAGGTATTAGCTAAGTGGCGTACAGGCCTCGATATAAAGGCTAAGGCTACTAAAGATAAGGAGAAGGAGAAGTAGGAACAGGCTGCAAGAGAGGTAGCGTAGAACGCGCTTAATATACGTCGTATAGCTAATACTGCCTTACTAGCTATAATACCATTTATACTACAGCAGCGTACTACGGCAGTTAATAAGATAAGAAACAGCCTCGCAGAGTCTACTAGTATGCAGGCAGATCGTCTGTATAGCCGCAACAGTTAGGTATCCGGAACTCGAGGCTAAGAACGCCTAGGTTCATCTAGTAGACTAGGTACTTAGCGATAGCTACTACCGCAGATTAGCGCTGCTGCTAAGCAGGTATATAGCCGAGCTAAGCAGATCCTAAGCACTATATCTCGTACTAACGAGGAGCGAGGAGGTCGTGTCTTACGTACCGAGCGTAGACTCTCTAAGGCAGGTCGGCGTATAATAGGTAGCTCTGCTAGTAGCTCTCTAAGCAGGCGTTAAGTATAGGCAATCGAATAGGCGGTATGCTAGACTAGTCGCTATCGCATCGGCTGTCGCTATCGTATTAGATATCGCTATCGCATCGATTGTCGCTATCGTATCGATTGTCGCTATCGTATCGATTGTCGCTATCGTAGTATTTAGTAGGATTTTATAGTAGACAGTAGACCTTTAATACAATATATAGCATAGTACGTATGTCTCCCGTTTTTAGCACTATTACGCCCTTTGTTATAGTCTTTGTTAAAATCGGTATATAGCTAAAGTCGATAGATACGTAAGAGGAAATCGCGATCTTAGAGCCGGCCTAATCCCGCTAATCGGATGTTATGCTATAGTAAATCCGAGCCTTAGCGGGCTGTCGAGGCTTCCTCTATCTGAATCTCCTTCCTCGAATTTACGATACTTTCTAAACAACAATACCGCCGCCGCTACGCTACGCTAAACCGAGTCGATTAAGCGCATTTCTAGCAAAGCGCGCTAGCAAAAGTGTCTAATACGATAACGACGGCCGTAGCCTTAGGCATACCGAAGTCCTCTTTTCTAAGCCTTATTTCGAGAAGTCCTATTTCGAGAAGTCCTATTTCGAGAAGTCCTATTTCGAGAAGTCCCATTTCGAGAAGGCCGACAAAGCTAATACTATACTTATCGCACTACATGCTTGCTAGCAGGCACTACAATATATACGGTAGGATAGAAGCGTAGGGCAATAATATACAATCGAGAACCGCCGAAGCGACCTCTTACGTTAATGCCCTCCTATACTTAAAAGAACACTAGCGTTTAGGGATCTAATATAACTAGCGGTTTAAGGGCCGGCTAGGAGCATACTATAAGAAGCATACTAGAAGCATACATTGCCTATAAACCTACACTTAAGCAGGCCGCGAAGCAAGCTAAAAGCAAGCTATATACGGCGGATACTCTCCTTATATTAAGTTCTTAACGCATTCCATTACTAACTATAATAGAGTGTAGAGCAGGCATTATTAAGCGTGTAACACTAGCGAACTTATAAAGAGTTAGATACTAGGTACCGACTAAAGCTACCTAGAGAACAATAGTCGAACCGCGCCTAAAGTTGTTAAAAAGACAGTATCAAAAAGATATGCCCCTAGAAGCCTAATACGTACTACGCACTGCTTCGAGTAGTCTTAATGCGCTCGGTCTCGCGGATAGGGATACGCACTATAGGTATATAACAGTCT